GTGACTAGAATTAATTTACATTTGCAGCAACTTGATAATTTCTAGAAAACATTCGAACTTGGTAATTTCTAGAAAACATTCTGAGACACTATGTAATACCCGTAACAACCCCATGAAGTGGCTTGTGGAGATACTGTAATGTGCACTTTACGAAGAAGCAAGCAAATGGTAGAGGGAGAAGGAGAAGGGGTTTTCTGCTCCCCTATAACTTGTGTGTAGGAGACAGTGCAGAATGTAGAACTTGTTAGTGCTTTGCCCTCCCTATAACTCCTCATTTTCCAGTGGAGAATTTGCCTAGACTCCTTCTTACATCAAAGCAGGAAATTTATGCAGGTTCCACAGCTCAGATTCTGTTTCTAAACATTCCAGGACCATCTATCTTGCCTACATCTTCTTTTCTTTTTTTTTTTTTCTTTTTTTTTTTTTTTTGCCAAGTGCTCTTCCTGAAGTGGCTGACTCTTTCTTCTTTCTAATTAACTTTTATGTGGGAACGCCTTTGGTAATGAAATGCTATCTTACTGCAATAAAAAACATTTCTCACTTCTTAAGAAAAATAAGAATTTGCACATACAAGAGTTCTCTCACCTGGTTTTCTTTTGAACATACTTGGAAGGAGAAACATTTCTATTGTCTCACTCACTATCTTAGCTGAGGGAGCAATTTGTAGGAACTAAGATAACTGCCTTCCTGAAAGTAAATGTTATTTTTATCAAACCTTCTTTAGTTTAGGCATAGCTTTGGTATTTGCAGAGGTTACCACTTGTTGATAATTAAAATACATTGGTTACTGATATTGGCAGCTGAGTGGGATAGCAGAGTATGAGAAAACATGGACTTTGGAGTCAGACAAATCCAGTTAGAATTCTGATTCTGCCATTGACTGGGCAATTTACGTAAGCTCTTGAAAATGATTTTTGTGCAGTAGGATAATTTATTAACAATATCCACTTTACAGGGGTATTGGGAAGATTAAAGGTAAATAATAGATATTTCTCCTATGATGAAATGGCAGAGCAGAAAAGTACAATCCTCTTCAAAGACTGTAGATGGAATAAACTGCAGCTCCTCATTGTCCTCTCCAGTTTCATTCTGCTCCTTGTTCCACTCAAGGAGGCTTTCTGCCCCAGGAGACTCACAAGTTGGGTGTCAAGCACAAGCTTCTTTGCTCTGGGACTCTGACTCTGTTGCATTTGGCCAGTGGGGAATCCCAGTTGGGAACCAGAATGATTTGTGGTTGCTATCATGCTTATCTCTTCATCTCCTTCATTTCAGGGTCACCTGAGGCTGTGTCCCAGAAAATAATTTCCCTTTTGATGTAACCCACTCTATGGGGTTTGGTGACCCATCCTTCTCTGTGGCCCTTTAGCCGGGGGTGTTAAAAGCTTCATTTCTACCAACTCCAGCCACTGCACCATCTTTTGAGGATCCCTGTGTCCTAGTCACATCTTATTTCCTTTTTTAAAAAGATTTATTTATTTATATAAGAACCGGGGTACAGGCCAGATGTGCGGGAGTGTGAGAGGATTCACCAGAGACAGAGCGGGGAGCAGAATAGGCAGACTGACCGAAATACACTGCTGAGGGGAGCAGCGGGTGAGACAGGAGAGGTCTGCCGCGCCATGTAGGTATCTCCCCTGCAGTCGGGATCGAACCTGTGCTGCAGAGGCTGCAGACGGGCTTCACAGCGCTGTGTTCAACCGCCTGCGCCACTGGGGAGGCCCATAGTCATATCTTCTAAAGTAGTCTCTTTTGCTAAACTTTCCCTAAATGACTGTAATGTAAGTGTGCTGTTTACTTGTGGGATCCTAATTGACATAAAATTCCTAACTGCTTAGTTGAAAGCCATATATTTACCTAAGTCTGTTTTATTTGAGGGAGTTGGGCACTTTTAGGGGAAAAATAAGAATGGGTTGTTGTTATTGCTTGCAATTTGATATTAAGAGAAGAAAGAAGGTAGTAATGATGGATGATGATGATAGCCCTTTTGCAGATATGGGAAAAGCTGAGAGAGGTTTAGTGACTTATTCAAAGCTACACAGAATAACACGGGGGACCTGAAATTCTAACCTGAGCCATTTGCTTTCAAGGTTCATCCTCTCTTAGCAAGGTCAACTGCCTCCCAGATATACAGTCTGAGAAGGGTCAACCCATCAACAGTTTTCAATTCAATTCATTTGATTGTTCAGATTTCTACAGTTTCTAAATTCCTATAGGATTCTATCTCTTAATAATGGCCTTTTAGTGATGTGAAGGCAATATGTAAAAACATGATTAATTCTGCAACTCTTTTGAGGTCAAATCCATCATTGTCTGATTTGACTGATTTGTTAATTTAAAACCAATGAGTCACTGTCCCACTGGGGTAACAATGCCATGGTTGCCCCTAAGGATACTCATTAAATGCTAAATGAATAATTAAGTATTTTGAATGACTTTTTCTCTGATAGTGTGTAAATATCCATAATATTTAGTGTTGCTACCCCCCTCCTCAGGTATGGAATATTTAGCTCACTGTTTATATTATTTCAGTCCACTTCTTAAGTTGATCTTGGTGAATAATTCCACATTTTCTGAAGACTTATAAAATGGTCGGCATTATAATTAATTGGTAAAGGTGACTAAGTTCCTGGAAGTATAAGGGCTGATCCTAACTTTGCATTTGCGAATCAGCCTCTCCCTCCAAACTGCACTCTTAAAAAAATCATATACACTTAAGGAAATCACATTTATCCCAGCAACTCACATTCCTTAAAAAAATATATTTATTTATTTATTTATACAAGAGCTGGGGCACAGGCCGGCGGGTAGGGGTGAGAGGATTCACCAGAGACGGATGGGGAACAGAACAGGCAGACTGACTGAAACACACTGCTAAGAGGAGCAGCTGGCGAGTCAGGAGAGGTCTGCTTCACCATGTGGGTTTCTCTCTGGCCGGCTGGAGATCGAACTGGTGCTGCAGAGGCTATGGATTGCTTCATAGTGCGGTGCTTAACCCCTTGCGCCACCAGGGAGGCCCAGCAACTCACATTTGATTTTGCATTTATCACCAGGCGAGGATTTCTCTCAAAACCAGAAGAAAAAAGGCCTTACTGAGGGGTCAGTGCCTCCTGGGTCTTAGTTGCATCTAGGGATATTATTTTTTTTTTTAAAGATTTATCTATCTATCTATCTATCTATCTATCTATCTATCTATCTATCTATCTATCTATCTATCTATCTATCTATCTATCGCGTGGGAGGGTGAGAAAATTCACCAGAGCCAGAACGGGTAGCAGAACAGGCAGAAGGACAGAAGTACACTGCTGAGGGGAGCAGCAGACGCAGCAGGAGATGTCTGCGCGCCATGTGGGACCCTCGCTGGTGGCTGGGGATCGAACTGGCACTGCAGAGGCTGCGGGCAGCTTCACAGCCCAGCACTCAACTGCTGCGCCACTGGGGAGGCCCATCTAGGGGTATTCTTAACAATAAGAAATGATTTTTCCGATTCTAGCTGTACCTTGCTGTCGTAGGATATCTGACCTCCCTAAAAGTTTCTCTCTTTTATTTTCATGTCTGCAGGGAGCAACTCGTATGTGCTCAACATCAGTCTTTCAACCTTGAGCGTATGCTATTACATGTAGCTGGAGAGCTTGGTGTGAGTTTCCCTCTCCAATGTGTGGGGGACCATTGTGTTCTGCTGCTGTGGCTGCAGCAGGGGGCCCACTGAATAATGTGTCCCCTAGAGTCCTCCCTTTATATTTCTATATAATATATAGATGTGTTTTCTATATATCTGTAATAATAAGTGTATTATATATCTATAATATTACATAGATAATATATCTATAGGTATTGTAGACAGAAAATATGTATCATTATAGATATACTATGTATTTTCTACATATTCTATATAACATATCTATATATAATGATATATAACCAATTTATGTATAAAATATATATGATTACTTTGTTTTGTTTATTTTTTGAATATAATTTATACTTCTCTGCACTTTGATACATTTTTCAATTGTTTCAACATAACTAACTCCTTCAGGCCTTTTCACTTTTACTTTTTTCCCTATGCTCAGACACAAGTCTTTTGAGAAGCTTAGAATAATTCCAAAGTCTAGACTACATGCTGTTGCTAGAATCAGACTGCACCCACAATGTCAGACTATATCTTTACTGTCATTTGCCTCATCTCTGTTCCTTTAGAGTGACTTCTTTCCTAAAAGTCACTTCAGCCCACGCGAAAATACTCAATGAATATGTAAGTCATGTCCTGATGTAGCTGAATATAAGAATTGAGCAAAAACACATGTAGCTATTCTATTAGCTCTTTCTTCAAACTTAAAACAGAGTGTCCAGTGGAAAGTGATGGTTAGGTAATGAGGCTACCATGCCATTCAAGTAGCAAATACTCTGGAATAATCTTTGAAATAATAGTTATTGCTTAAATAGCTAGACTGTTTTTCCCCAGAATTTCCTTAAATCTGTTTGAACCAAGAGGGTGGAGAATTTGCTCAATTTCTGGAAGAGCCAGATGGCTTCAGTGTACTGTGGCTTATTGCTAATGAAACAAGAGGCCATGGAGCAGTGGTCAGAGGGCTTTCAGATGTAAGTAAGATTCCTCCAGTTCTGGACAAGGCTGCCTCGGTAGAAAATTGAGGGGTCCCTAGCTGTACCACGGAATTTGCACAGACATTATTCAGCACAAATTTTCATTTTTTACATGTAACTTTAGGTTGTGGCCACCATACCTATTTTTTTTCCGCCACTGGAAATGTAGACTTGAATATTCAATGGAAAACAGATGGTGCTTGAAATCTCTAACTCACATTTAACAAAAGCTGTTTTGGAAATGTTGCTTGTATGTACTTTTATTGGTTTAAACACAGCACCATTTTCGCCTGTTCTGATGAATAATTTAAGAATTACTGTCCTAGTCTAAGACAGCAGTTCGAGGTGCACGTGTTAATCATATACTTGATTAAACATTTCCTTCCCTTTCTCTTCAGCATGCCAGTTGGCTTTTGAGTGGATAATTGTTGCAGTGAGAGCAGTGACGTTGGAAACAACTGTTGTCTGTTTGAATTACTTATAACATCACCATGAAAAGAAATACCTGTGATTCGCTTTCTCGGAGCAAAAGTGTAAGTACTTTTGTTTTCCTTTCTTTTCTAGAAATGTATACATGTAACTTTTTTTTTTTACTGTTTTCAATGCTGTGCTATCTCGGTTGGGCTGGTAGAAACTTTTGGTTGACTTTCAGTTCTCTGACTGTACAGAGCTTATTAACAAGACTTGTTTGTGAGGTCTGGTTTGACATTTGATGGGAATTCTCTGTCAGTCACTTTGTATATGCCTCACCATTCATTTGTGTAAGTTCACTGGCATGATATTGGACACCCTACTTTTTGGATGCATGCAGGAAATTTATGATTAAAAATCAAAATTGAAGGAATGTAAGTCTTGAATGTCAGACTTTTCTGGGCACATCCAAAAGGATCAATGGGACTTATGTCACTACATGCTTCAAACAATCACATTCTGAGAGTTTTGTGTACATAGTGAATAATGTGAATATGTGTTAGCGGGACCTCACTTCCATGAAACTTCTACTCTGGCATGTGTCTCCTTTCTCTTCTTCCTTTAAATATGTTTCAAGTGGACATCCTCAGGGCCCTTATGGAGGTTAAACCTCTTCCTACTTATTTAGTATATTTGAGGTACCAAATTAGTAATAATATTTAAATTTCTGTTAACTTATGAAAGGAAGTGTAAGCAAATCAAGAAATGTAAAGTACACAAGGCAGGGAAGAAAGTAGATTGTTCATTTCCATCAGGCAAGCTCTAAGAACATGTCCTTTTGTTCATTTACCCAAGGGGGGAAAACATCCAAACAGATGTCCTTGTGACGTAGGAACATTCATTTGAAAGCATCAGAGAAACCACAAAAGCAAACACATTTCTCTAGTATGGGAGTGCTTTGTGTTACAACCAGCGACTCTATTGTGATGGTCCAATGTCATTTTTCTTCCTTTCTGTAGAATTACCAACAATCTTTTAGGGGTGAGCAATGCTTGAATTTGTGGAGAAGGTAGTATAGTGTGCCAAATAGCATTTCTTAAAAAATGAGATGTGTGCCAATTCTTGGAGTGCTTACTGCCTCTGTTAAATGACCAACCAAAGAAATTCAACAAATTCTGAGGTAATGTCCAAATTAATTTGTTTTACTGGTTGGTATTTGGCTGTGTGGATAATTGCATAAAGGAAAGGGTCATGGCTTGGAGCCTGAAATTCCTTCTATCATCATACAGAGTTGCTCATTGCAATAGGAGATGACCTGCATACAAATTACCAAATTGCAAACACATCTTACTGGGTTTTTCTTATTATAAATTAAATATGAAAGCAAAGCATTCACATAATGCTTCTTTCTTTTATTAAATTTCAGAGACACCTGATACAAAAAAATATATAAAGCCAAAAGCACATTTTGGGTAATTATAATATATTATTAAACATTTCCCTGTTCTTGGAGGAAAATATTCTAAAAGCCAATGATTAAAATGAGCTGCGACTTTAAGGAACTGTGAGTACTTAATGATGCTAGATTTCTTATTTATATTTGCAAAATGCAAAAATTTTCATCTAGTTGGAAAGACTCATGCTTCTCAGATTAAGTGAACTTGAGGTGCCTATGTTCGTCCCAATGTAAATAGTAGAGCTCTCATTTCACTACTTTGTAGCTTCTTGAAAATCCACTGGCATAAAGAAAGTGCTTCCACTTAATTAAATGTCTCTAAGCAGGAGATTACTGTTTATAAGAGAAGAGAGCTGGACTCTTGCCTTCTTTGATCTTGTCACTTTAGTTTCAAAAGTTTATTTTGCACTGGTCTAAGAATGTCCTCCACCCCGTAAGTCTTTGTCATAATAGAATCCAACATTATACACTGGGAGGTAGATGTTTCCTGTTTTGATGAGGAAAGTTTAAGGAATTAATTTGATTTAGTGTCTGGGAATGCTTTTCCTTGGCATTATGACATTTGAAAATCCAAAGAGGGTGTTCTAAATGTTAAACAGCCTCGCTCCTCCCTGCTGGCCTCTGTATGTCTTGTATCTGTCATCATGAAAACTCAGCATAAGAGGAGGAATAAAATAAAATATCATCTTTAGACAATCACATTATTTATTCCTGAACACTTAAAAAATCAGTGTTCATATTTTTCTCCTCATACTCAAGACCTGGCGCAGTGTCCCTTTGAATGATTAATGCCCTGAATTCCTCCCATGGAGGACCAATGAAAAATGTATTTATGAAAATACAGACAAACCACTTTTATACTTAAAGTGATATTTATCTAGTTTTGGAGGATGATTTGTAGCTGTGATGGGTTAAAAGGGAAGAATCTGGCATATAAACAAGCACAACAGTGAGGAGTGGTCCCAGTGGCCATGGACCCTTCCACCTTCTGTGAGAGACACCCATTAGACACCCATCAGTGATAGTGCCTTTCACATAGTAGATAATGTTGTGTTGAAGGAATGAGTGAATAAATGAATCATGATACTTGCTGAGAGCTAAGTCATAGTACAGGGATGACGGGAAATAGAAATAGGCTAGTCAGGGAGGTCAGGTAAGGCTTCTCTTGTGGAAGATGATTGACTGACAGTTGTGACCTGAAGGATGAATTAGCCTAATGAGCAAACAGGTGTGTAGGTGCTCCCAGGAAGTTGGTATGAGATGCAGTGACTTCATCTGGTGACTTCAAGGTCATGAGCAAAAGCTAGTATAACTAACTCTAACTCATCAATAACAGTGGTAGAAAGATCAAGTGAACACATTGAAGAAACATTTAGAGTAAAAATATGATAGGGATTTGGTAAGGCATTGCATTTGGGACCTAGGTGGGTAGAAACGACTGGAAGGTGCTTCCTGGGCTTCTGGTGTACTTCCAGGATGAGTGTTGTTCCTCAACTGAGCTGAAGACAGTGGGTGAACAACAAATTGGGAAAGGAGAGAGAATCGGTATAAATCTAAGGATGTTGAGTTTGGATGTTTTAAGATCTAGGAGTCCAGAGAACAATTTTTAATCCATACAATTGGTAGGTAAATTCAAGTTAATTATTAAATTTATTCCCCATTCAGACTGTTGATTACATATAGGAAATACTCTCATTGAAATTAAAAAATTTTTTTGCAAATTTGACTCCAAGCTATATTTATCAAATATGTTATATAGGACCTCCAAGATAAGTTTTGGAACTAAAGATTTAAGAGAGAGAGAGAAATATAATGACAATTATTTCTAATTTAGTTTTCATGTATTGGAAAGAAAAACTATTTATTCCTGCATAATTTTACAGATGGGAAGTACTTAGAAATAGCAGCCTTAGGGCCTCTCTGGTTGCACAAGGGGTTAAGTCTCAGCACTATGAAGCTATCCACAGCCACTGCAGCAAGACTTCCACCCCCAGCCAGGGAGCTACCCACATAGAGCAGCAGATCTCTCCTGCCTCGCCCGCTGCTCCCCTCAGCAGTGTATTTCAGTCAATCAACCTGTTCTTCCTACTCTGTCTCTGGTGAATCCTCTCAACCACCTGCACCTCTGGCCTGCAACCGAGGTCTTATATGCATAAGTAAATAACCTTTAAAAAAATAGCAGCCTTATCTGTTATTGACCATGTATAAGCAAACAAGACCTAGTCTAGTTGATTTATTAGAAACTTGCAAATATCAGTTCATAAAAGCAGATTTTCCCCTTATTTTTGATGTTAGGATGTGGTTAACTTTAATCTATAACATATATTGATTTCCTAAGCCAAATAAATATATAATTTTAAAATTTAGTAATTAATTTTTCTTAAAATTATTCAAAACAACTCAAATAGCAAAAACTCCATTCATTGAAAATAAAGTGCTTATGCTATTTACTAACTTGAAAATATCTAAATGAGTTAGATATCATTATTGTTAACTATTACTTTCGGATGAACTTATATTGCAGACTATAATAATAAATGGACCTAAATTAAAATATTTTTAAACCAAATTCTTTATTATATATTATTATAATATGACATTTTAAATTTCAACTTGTGCTTTACAAATGTACACATGATAATGAAGATGTCTACAAATTAAAAAATTCAGAAGTTGCAATACATCATACATCGTGAAAATGACAGAAAGTAAATCGCATAAGCTTTACACTCCTGATTGACGTAGTAGTTTAACCTGTCTCCATCATTTGTTTTGAGTATAAATAGTATTAATATTTACCTCATTAATGTTTTCACCAAATTTTACAGGTTTTATGAATTTTGTCAAAATTCTGACATACAATTTCTACTTAGTATAGTTGGAAGAGAACTTAAAGATACTCTTTCTTAACTATAACCGACTATAAAGACTGTTTCAGGTGGTGCCCCCTGGAGGGGGTTGTTGGTGAGGATAGGTAGCCCCAGGGAAAATGCTAAAAAGTGGGATGGAGTGACTGATAAACAATATAAGTGACTGCAGAAGCAGGTGCAGGGTCTTTCAGCATTTCGGATTTAACATGAGGGGTCAGCAGATTCTGGCCCCCACTGTGCTGATCTTTCAGAAGGCTGTTGTGGGCCTCTCAAGATGGAGGCTTTCAGCAGCCTACATCAGAGAGGAAAGTTTGGAGGCTTTACAAGTAGCCGAACAACTGAAACTGTTTTAGGTTTTACTGCTGATGTGGTCTGGCAGAGAAGGCAAAGACCTGGAGCAAGGCGTCTTACTGAGATGTGTGAGTGTGGCTGTTTGTCCAGTCATTTTACTGCTGTAGCTGCTGTTTTGAGTGTTGCTTGTCTGGTGCTGTGCTGGGACATCTCAGCAGCTCATAGACCATCTCCTGTTGTGTCTTATGCTGTCTTCGTGAGTTGGAAGCTGGCCTATGGCCTGGCTGCTGTGTGTCCACAGTGGCAGGAAGATGCCATCTTGGACACGTGGCTATTGTTTGGGAGAGGAACTCTAGTCCTCAGTGCCTGGAAGACACCATCTTGCTTCTTTTGTTTAGGACTAGAAAACACTAGACATGGCTTCCAGTGAGGTAAATGGCTATTTTGGCCTCAGTAACGCTTTGTTTTCCCCTGGTTTGTTAAACAAATCCCTTTGTTGTTCTCT